GTCACTCACTCACTCACTCACTCACTCACTCACTCACTCACTCGCTCACTCACTCACTCACTCTCTTCCAAAAAATAGGAAAATATTTCTTCATTAGAAATTTCAGATTTACATCTTGACTCCATTCTTATTACAACATCAAGGCAATACAATGATCAAATTCCAAAATTGTTCATAATTATTTACTATACTAAGCGTCTGCAATTTACATGCAACTCTACTAAAGATTTACCCTTCTTGTCCACCCCTACACATCGCCAGGCCCCTCTGCCTGCAGATGTTCCCTGGTCATCCGTCGCATGATTCTTGTGAAAAAGACGCTTAAAACTGGCTGCTCCTCACCGATTTAAATGCAGTCTGTCTGGTCCAAAGCCACTTCTGGGGCCAAAATCATTCCTCGTGGCATCTCGGATCTAGGAGTTTGCATCAGCAAACATTACTTTTTTTATTCTGCCACCCACTCAGAGTCCTCATTCACCTTGTTAATGTATATCAATGCAATATCCCATCTGCAAACCTCACCATTTAGAATGATCTGAATAGCTGGGAATTTCTGCGTCACCGTGACCAGGGTATATATTCTTCTTGTTAACACATCCATATACAGAATCACTATAACTGGTGCACATAAACTGCTTCTCTACTCGCACATTTTTATTTGTTCTGTCCTTATTCCCGGCAAACATTCTACTTGTACATTTTCACATTTCCCTGCATGTGATTTGTTTCAGTCACCTATAACTACTTCACGCTTACTTTTAAATCACCTACAATCTTCCCCGCAACAAGTCCTCACTTGTTACCACTTTCTTTTCTGCAAACCGTTCACCAACACTTATCTTCTAGCTTCTTGTTTGCAAGCGGCAGTTCTTATCGGAGGCTTCTGTGCCTCTGCTAGTTCTGCCTCCAGCTTCTTAAATTGCCTCATTTCTTTCACACTTATTGCTCTTGTTTCCATCTTCCATGCCGGGACCAAGATTTGCTTTTACCCACAATTAACAGCAAGAATTGCAGCACACAGCAATGCAGCCTCAAGACCATCAATACCACTTTTGCACACGCTATGCGACATTGCATGTGAGCATGCCAGCCGCACCCCCAACTCCCAACTTGTGCTCTATATACCGTTACACTGCAGCACATCACCTTTCACCTCTACCTGCGTAACCTTCCAGAACACGTCTGCACTGTTCGAAGACCAAGCACAGAATCAAATACAAAAATAAGTTTTAAATGATGTTTTCTTTTTGAATTCCAACTCCATTTCTTTCATAAATGATAACTGAATTTTGGTAATTCTTTGTTGTGTAAGGTTAATTATTGCGGGTACCTTGAATTGTTATGGGAATAGAAGTATCATGGGAGATTTGCAATTTACTGCTCTGCATTCAAGATAGTCACATTTATTTTTCATACTGGTTTTATACTTCAGTCCATTGGTCTTATTTTTTCAGGGTTGTGATTTGCCCCTTGTTATTCTATTTGTTGTAAGTAATCTAAGGAATGAAAGTATGTGAATACTCGTTGTTTTAAAAGTTCGTTGACGTCAAAATACTAAATACTGAATATTACCTTGACTATTCAGAACTTGATTTTCTCGCAACACTTTTAATTACTTCTTTCAAGTGACCAGTTTGAGGCACTTTATATTTACTCAGTATAACATGATTGATTACAGAACGAGTTGATTATTCTTTTTCATCAACATTATGTCATCATTCATCAACAAAAGTAGACTGGTCAGTCTTCAAAGTAAGGTGAAATTGACAGGAGAGCTTCATGAGCCCATTTCAGTATTGTTTTGCATTCTCCTTTCCTATGTTAAAGTCATATAAACAATTACTTCCTTTCGATCTTCAATGTCACATCACAACAAACCACTACTTTTTCTGCACATGTGAGACTCTACCCATTATGAAGTCCTTGACTCCAAACTACATAGACAGAGACCTCAGAAACCTTTGGATGTTGAATAAGAATTATTTAATTATTTTTCCATAAACTTCGTCTCTGGAATGTTTCGCTTGTACTTTAAGAACAAAAATAGACTGCAAATAGTACATTCTTCTGAACATATTAAAATTCCACCCTCATGTGAATTACTTTTAAAACTAGTGATGCTGGCAAAGCACATATTTTCTCGTATTGTTTCTAAACTCTCCACAACATTATACTACTACATAAACCGGCAAAAGTGTTTTCAAGCAGCAAATTATTTTTCCGCTCCAAGTTTCGAATCACAGAAGTACCGCATGGACCTAACTCGGACAACGGTTTAGGCGCTAGCGGACGGATGGACGGACGGACGGACGCTTTGCCGTCAATCAATTTTTTGGTATCAAAAACCAACAAAACATGTTGTCTGGCTACACCATGAATTAGAGGATTTTATTCTTTAAATGTACCAATTGGATTTATCCACATTTTCGTTACCATAGCTCAGCAATTAGTTTCTCAGGGCACAATTCACGGTTTTCTGGTGCACAATTACATAACTTTGTCTTCCTACAAAGTATTCATAAGCTGAGAAAGTAAAAACAATATAACATTTTGATTTGAACACAGCTGATTGGTATGATAACAGAAGTCCCC